AATTCAAAGTAGCCAACAGTAACTATTCATACAGAGCCAAGGAAATCTATTAAATTAACAAGCTCTCTGCTTTTGAGACCTTTCCAGCCAGTCTAAGTTGGGCTCCCTCTTCAAGCTGATTGTAATGAAATTCTATTTAAAGCCCTTCATCTTCCAAATTCACTGTACCACATGGTGAAGTTGGCCAGACCTTGCGTGTTGGCTGAGACAGGCTTATTTGTATTTTGTGAACTCTTTAAGACCCGCTTTGTTTGTTGAAACTGCCTGACGATGCCTTTTCTATCTGCGGATCCCCATTTTGCTCAATCTGAGAGAGAGAGGAGCGTTTGTAATGGAGTGATGCCTGCCTGTTGAAAAGACACAGAGATCCCCTGGCACCCTGTGACGAGCCATGGCAGAGTCAGGTCTCTAATGCAGGTGCAGACCTGCGTTAGTGTGTGTATTATCTGTGTTCCCTACAGACTCTAACTAGGGGGAATATCAGCTCACGTCCTAGGCCCAGGCTTGGCATTGAAGGCCTTCATTGCCTATATAGTTAAGTGCCTTCAGGATATACCTATATCTATATCTATATACACATACATACATATATTATATACACACGCACACATTTTCTAGTATCAAGCTAGCACCTGGTCTGGAGAATCATTTTTGCATTATGGGTCAGTTCCCTAGAGGTTCCAAGCCACTTTGGGGGCAAGGACATGGCAGGAGTGGGGATTCTGGTTCATTCTAGTCTCTAGAGATTGACTGCAAGCTACTAGAGTGACCTTGGCATTAGTCAATCAACAAAACTTGATTGCGGGTCAGAGTCACATTTAGAGTAAGGAGATAGCAAATGGAAACCAGGCATCAGAATGTAAAGGCCTCTGATACCTTCAGCAGGTAGGAACAACTGAGCTTAACACCTAGAACCAGAATAATTAGTTCAAATAGGAAGCTACAGAGAAGCTGCTTCCTTCCAGGTGGCTACATAGCAGATAAACTCTTGCCCAGCCCCCACACAGACTCTAATGCAGTGACCTCATAATGTCCCTGGATCTCTGCAAACCCTGCTCCCTTCCCCTCCATCCCCAACTCAGCTGAGGACTGATTGGATTTTATTTGCTATTTTCAGTGTTCTCAATTGTCTGCCACGGGTAGACCACTGGGCTGATGGGTGTGAGGCATAAAGAATTATAAGACATAGTTCTTGCTTCCAAACAATTTACAGTGTATTTGAAAAGTCAAAACATGTGCTTTCCTAGCAGTCCATGCCGTTGTTAGCTAAAGAGGACAATGCCTGTGCTCAAATGTTGTATAGTAATAGAACTAGTGAGAGGGTTAGAGGACTGATCCTAAAACCTCCCCCCCCCCCAAGGCATTTGCACCTTAATCTAGGCTCCCTTAACCTTAAAGGAAGTGGCCACACCAGAGGATCCCAGCAATGAGGGAGTTTGATCAGCAGGCCCTTTAAATTGAGAAGGGAGGGCAAGGTAGGATGAGGTGAGCAGGCAGACTGGAGTGGTTGGCAGCTGTCAAAACAAAAGCTAACAAAGCTCTCTCTGGCTGTTAGTTTACAGGTGTCGTAGGCCCTTGTGTTAACCCTTCAGTCCCAGTACCTGATGCTGCTCTGGAGGTTCCCAAGAAGCTAGTTTTAAAAGAAGAAAGAAAGAAAGAAAATTATTCTAAGTCTAGTAGTAATCAACAAAAATTAACAGTGTAAAAATGTACATACATAGATTGTCAATTTCAAGTTGGAAGAGATCTTGGAGGCCATTTTGAAGATGAGGAGACCGAGACTTAGAGAGGTGAAGGAGCTTGCCCAAAGTTAGACACAGATAGTAAGAGGAAGAGTTGAGATTAGAACCCGGGTCCTCTGACTATAGTACCCAAGACTCTGGCCACACTGCCTCCCATAAAACTGCAAGCTTTAACTTATTTACTTTTTTTCTTAAACGTGTATGTTGACTTTAACTGAATAATCTTGAAAATTTCTTTTTGTTTTCGTTTCCCCTTCTGATCTTTACTTTTGTGTGATTTCCTCAGGTTTCTTACTGTTACTATTTTTGTTCCAGTCAAAGTATTTATTGTTCTGATCTTGCCTCATCAGTTCTTAGAAGTTTTTCTATATTTATATTCTTTATATATATTCTTTGTATTGTCATGCGAGTGGTAATCTTCCATGACACACTCTGCATGTTCAACCATTCCCCAGTCAATGGGCATATGAGTGGTTCTCAGTTGTTTTTATTTTTTCCTAGTCACAATAAAGTTGCTATGCCTCTTTTTGCGCAGATAGATCTTTTTTTTTTTCTTTCAGTAAAATCCTCAGGTTCCTAATAGTGAGATCACGGGATCAAATGGTATGAACAACTTTATAGCTCTTATTGATTTGTACCTTCTTAATTTCAATTTTAATTTTTCAGCAGGCAGAGGTTGGTTCTGGATCAATGATTTCATTGGTGTAGGAAACTTCCAGTGAAGATGGGGACCTGTCTCTGTAGTTTTCTGTAGTTGGTTTCTTGGGGCACTGAAAGTTAAAATGCCCAGTGTCAAAACAGGCAATGTGTATGAGAGGCTGAATCCTAGGTTAGTGCTCTCTCCACTATAGTACACTCTAGTGATAGAGTACCAGACCTTGCCAAAAAGATAGTACCACTTCACAATTCTTTCCATCAGTAGTGTCCATTTCCCTAAGATCTGTCCACCATTGCATTTGGTTACTTTTGATAGTCTTTGCCAGTTTGATGGATATAAGGTGGTGTCCTCAAGATGTTTTAACCTGGAAGCTTTTTTGTACTTTTGAGATAGGAGCAAAGTGGTTCTTTGCTTTTGCCTTGCTTTCTGGACTTCAGAGATTATCTAGACCAAATCCTTTATTTTACAATGAGGAAAGTAGGGTTCTGAGAAGTTGTTTTTAATATGGGTTTTGCTCACAACAACCCTGTGAGGTTGATAGTCAAGCCAATAGCATTTATGGAGCGCCTACTGTGTGCTTCGGGGTGCTAGCTGAGTGCTAAATACCCGGAGTACAAAGAAAGGCAAAAACAGTCCTTGCCTTCCAGGAGCTGACAGTCTATTGGGGGAGATACCATGCAAACAACTATGTATAACCAAAATATATACAAGATAAGATAGAGATAATCTCAAAGGAAAGGTGTTAGCAAGAATTAAGGAAAATTGGGAAAAACTTCTTGTAGAAGATGAGATTTTAGCTGAGCCTTGAAAGAAGTCAGGGAAGCCGAGGGGCTTTTGGCCATTTTGATGAAAAGGAACATTTCCAGGGTTTAAACCCACCTCCCCCCATGTCCCCCATCCTCTCCCACTTCCCTGTCTTTCTTTTTATTAATTGTATCCCCAGTACTTAGCACGGTGCCTGGCACATGGTAGGTGCTTAATACATGTTTAATGTACTGGAATATGTTTCTTGGACCCTCAAAGTTTATTTCTTTCCTCTACTTTTGTTTCCTTTTTTCCTTTGTGGATTCCAGTGGTATTCCACTAGTTACCCTTCTCAGTGCCTGCCGCTTTGGAACGCACCCTGTCTCTCTCCTCTTGATTACACCCTCTTCTTTTGCCTTTGAGAAGATGGTGAACTCCTGCGGTAGCCTAAAGCAATCCATCATTCAAGAAAGAGCTTAAGGTGGCCCAGAAAGGTTATGACAGCTCCTGCTTCTAATTATCAGACCCAATCAAAGAGTCTCCAGTGGCCTTTCCCAACTTCTGTGTTTGGACCAAAATGGAAAGTATCGGATGTTCTTTTTCTAGATGATTTTGTGCTTTATATTCTCTTCCTTGGTAAACCACACAGTGAATTGTGGTTATGATTTATTTTCCTCTTGTTCTTATTAACCAAATCCTTTATCCCTTTCTTCTTTTGAAGGCATAGTCAATAATTAGGGCCTGAGAGGGTCCCTATTCCTCTCCAGTTATAGGTAATCATTTTGAAAGCAGGGGCCACATTTTGCTTCCACTTAAAAAAAAATACTTGTTAATTTATCATTTAATTTTATTTTTTCTAATGTATCTTTCCATTCATCAGATATTCAGGCAACAATATTTGTGATGTGCCTACTATGTACTGTGCTAGGCCCTTGGGAGATATACAGAAATTGTTGTTAAAGGTCCTTAAGCTTGAGAGGCTGACATTTTAGTATATTTTGTTTACTTTTTTTCCTCCTGGGGTTGAAAAGGTCTCTTTTTCTATCAGTTAATGTAGATTACTAACAAGCTTATGTGAATGCTAATGAAGAATAAAAACTTTTATCTCAATTTTTCTCTTTATTCCTCCTTTCCCTTAGTAGTTTTTGGGTCAGAGAAATATCACATAACTTTTTTTTCCAATGCTAATGTACCAGAATTGGGTGGCCCTTAAGAGCAATGGGAAAAAGCATGATGAGCATAAGTAAGTCGTTCGGTAGCCCATCACCAAGAGAGACTTGAACACCGTCTCGTTACAATAATGGCATTAGAGATCATTCGAGAAATGCCTAATTGCCAGAGAGGGTGGTCTGGTCAGGTAGTATACAAGATACACAGGCTGGATGCCTACACAAAGATCAAGAGGAAGGCCTCCAACAGCATTCTACAGGTATTTTGGCAGGGTTTGGGGGAGAGCTCAAGCAAGTCACTGCTTTCACTCTGCCATCTTGGCTCCATCCCCTCCAACAGCATTCTAAAGGATTTGGAAGTATAGGAACAATAATTGCAGAGGATCAAATGGTATGGATGAATTTCGTTCTTTACCAGTGGAAAGAGTTTCCATTCCAATCTTTGCACAGTTGCATTAAAGTGTAGCATATCAGAATGAGTTAGGGCAGATACTGGGAATTGTACCATTTTGGATGTGGTTCAACCTCAATTTGCCAAATGATCTGAGAAGCTAAGACATCCAAATTTAATTAACAGAGCCCTTTTTCTATAGACTATTGAGCAACATTAGAGCAGTATGGTACCAACGCACGAAAACATCTATAGAGATGAATATAAAAGAATGTGCTTATTTTGTCTCTTTTCAGATGCAGAGGGAAATTGCTTATGCAAGAGGAGAAGGCCCGGGTGCCTCTCGCCCAGGATCCACAGCTCATCCACCCCATGCAATTCCAAATTCACCACCCTCTACTCCCATACCACACTCTATGCCTCCTTCCCCGTCTAGAATCCCATACGGGGGTGCTCGCACAATGGTTGTTCCTGGCAATGCCACCATTCCCAGAGACAGGCTCTCCAGCATGCCAGTTTCAAGATCCATCTCCCCAAGCCCAAGCGCCATTTTGGAAAGAAGAGATGTAAAACCAGATGAAGACCTAAGCAGCAAGAGCATTGCCCTGTTCAGAAATGAAGGTTTATATGCTGACCCATTCCTTTTTCATGAGGGACGAATGAGCATAGCTTCCTCACATGGTGGACATCCCCTTGATGTCCCAGATCATGTCATTGCCTATCACCGCACAGCAATTCGATCTGCGAGTGCTTACTGTAACCCATCTTTGCAAGCTGAAATGCATTTGGAGCAGTCACTGTACAGACAGAAACCAAGGAAGTATCCAGACAGCCATTTGCCTACCTTGGGCTCAAAAACACCGCCAGCCTCTCCCCATCGAGTTAGTGACATCAGAATGATTGATATGCTCCCCCATCATAATGCCCACATACCACCTCATGCCATGCAGCCGGATCGGGCCTCGCCCAGCCGCCAGTCATTTAAAAAGGAGCTGGGAACCACAGTATATATAGAAAAGCCACGGAACCCCGCTGTATTAACAGGCATGGTGGACATAGGCCCGCCACTGACAGAGAAGCAAATTTTTGGCTATGGCACCATGACATCACCCAAAGACAAGGAAACAAGGTAAGCATGGGGAAAATACAAGGTGATGGGCATAAGGAGCCACGGGAGATGTGTACCTACCTGCTAAGTTTGCAAGCACGCTCCTGGGACAAGGATGTGAGCCTTGAGAGCAGTGTGCTGACAAAGAGGAGAGTATACACAAAATGTTGAGCTATGCAGAGATCTCTCTTAGTTGAATGTTGTCCATTTGTTATTAGTGTAAATTTCAGTTGTTTGGAAAATTTCATGATTAAGGGATGACCTTGTGATAACTATGGTAGATCAGGAGATGATAACACAATACCAAAATAAGGAGAAGACTGTATTGTGTCTTTGGCAGAAAGACTTTTTGAGATGGTGATTTCTGTTTTTCCCATTATAGAATTCTCTTTTTTTCTCATATGGTTTGAGGAAATGGAAAAAATGTGTCACTGTCTATCTTCTTGGGTGTAAAACACAAATTTGCATGAAAACAGAATGTTTCTGTTTTAAGTACTCATTAGGGAATGATGCTGAAATCAGCAAAATGATTCCACTGAATGAAAGCAATTTGGTTTTGATTTGTGTTTAATATTTTTTGCAACTTAGGTACTGTGCCAGAATCTCCAAACCACATATTTAAAACCTTTAAAAAAAAACAAACCCAGCTGTAATAAAGTTCTTTTAAAGGCAACATGGTGGAGTGGAAGGAGAACTGGACGAAGACTCAAGAGGACCTGGGTTCAAGTCCTGCTCTGACATGTACTGGCTGTTTTACCCTTAGGGATGTCACTAAGAAACTCTCTATATTGATCAGCATTGATATGGGATTTCCTCAGGAACTTCTTACACCAATGAAATTATTATTTGTCCAGTCAGAAATTTTAAAAAATCAGTTAATTGATTTTGATAGGCTATAGATAGAATCATAAATTTAAAAACAGAAGGGAAGGCCACTAGTCCATTCCCCTTATTTTGCAGATGAGAATACCGAGGCCTAGAAGGCATGGTGACTTGTCTAGATAGATAAATGGTAAGTGGGAAAGCCAGGTTTTAAACCCAGGGTCCTTGACCCCAAACCTCAGACTTCTTAGATGAATCTTTATAGTTGCTTGATCATTTGTAAAACCCACATAAGGAAACTGAACCAATAAGTGATGAAGGATTTTGCTCATTCTCACTCAAAGATTCAAAAGCAATATATATAAAAGCAAAAATATTCAGTCAAGCAGGGCCAGGTAACATAGCCAGTTCCCCACTATCCCTGTACTTTTTCACAGCCTTGTAAAAAGGAGGCTTAGATTGTGAATGACAAATGACGTACATAATCAATTTTTTTTTTTTTTTGGCTAGGCAATGGGGTTAAATGCCTTGCCCAGGGTCACACAGCTAGTAAGTGTTATGTGTCTGAGGCCAGATTTGAACTCAGGTCCTCCTGACTTCAGGGCCCGTGCTCTATTCACTGCGCTACCTAGCTGCCCCCATTGTCATCTTTTACATTGGTAATAAACAGTACCTCTCACTGATGGATGACTGGTGAAAGGAAGACCCATCTAGGCTTTGCAAAAGAAATATCATAATGTTGGGAGATTCCAGAATGTGGAGAAAAAATGAGAAAGAATGCCAGGAATCTCAAAGGACTCTTGTTACACATAGATGAAGTCGTTGTGGTGTGTGGCTCATTTGTCTAGAAATGAGAGGAGGAATTTCCAAAATGATATTTGAGCTTTTCATTTCAAAGCAATTAGAGTCTAGGATAAGGTCCTAAGGCAGGAGTTCTCTACCTTTTTTGTGTCATGGATCCCTTCCGTGAAAGCTGTGTTCCCCTTCTTAGAACCAGATTTTTAAATCCAGAAAATAAAATGTATAGGATTATGAAGGAAACCAATTAGAGTGATATATAGTCATCAAAATACCTTTTATTTATTTTTTTATTTTTATTTTTATTTTTTTTTGGTTAGGCAATGGGGTTAGCTGCCCCTCAAAATACCTTTTAAAACAAGTTCACAAACCCCAGGTTAAGAACCCCTATCTTAGGGTTTAGGGCTTTTATACACACATGCACACACAATAGTGTATAAGTTACAGTACCCTAAATATATAGGAAAGGACTGAACAGAGGGAGTCAAATTGAGATACTTATAAATATTATACTGGCTTCAGATACTTGACACTTACTAGCTATGTGACCCTGGGCAAGTCACTTAACCCCGATTGCTTCACCAAAAAACAGATATATGTATATATACATACACACACACACACACACACACACACACACACACACACATATATTTTAGTGTGTGTGTGTGTGTGAATATATATATATTCACACACACACACTAAAATTTTTGCTAGGGCAAATGGAAAGACATGAGCTGGGGAAGCTTGAGAGTGAGGTGATAAAGTGAAAAGAACACTGGATTTGAATCCCAGCTCCGGCACTTCCCATGTGACTCTAGACAGGGCCTTAAACTTCTTTTTCTTGGTTTTTTCATCTGCAAGATGAAGATAATGATATACTCAGCACTACCTCCCTCTCATAGTTGCAAGGAGAGCATGTTGTAAATCCTCAGTAAGACCCTGTCAGATGGACTGTTTTTACTTCTCAAAATTTCTCATTTCTGGACCACCAAGCGTATGGCATTAGCCTTAATTTCTAGCATGAGTGGCTGGGAGTCCTACGGAAGATCATTAGGATGGAATCCAGTGATTAGGGGATAGAGTAAAACACAGAACTTGGGCATCAGGGGGAAGTATGGGAATTCTGTTGAGAAGAGTGAAGGGTTTCCACAGCTCAACGTGTTAAATAACTTTCAGGCAATTTTTAATAACATCGTCAACACTCCCTAAAGGCCTTCTGTTTCCATATTTGAAAGACTTTCTCAACCTCAAACGTTTCCATTTTCCACAAACCTCAGAAGTTTTGTCATGTAAAAAATTTTTTGGCAGTTCTATCATGTAAAAACAAAAAATTAAGATACTCCCCTCAAGTATTTTCTGCTTAAAAAAACAAGCAAACAAACAAACAAACAAACATTCAGAACCAGAAACATGTGAAGACACTACAGAATTTTTATTTGTCTCAAATGTATTGTTGTTGTGATTCTGAGATAATGGTATTGTAGGACTGGAGGTAAAAGAGACCACAAAGGCCCTCCCTTATTTTACATGAAGAAACAAAGGCCCAGGGAGGTTGGGACTTAGCATAAAGAACACAGACAATAACTGGCCACAATAGTCGAAGAGCCCAGTTCCTCTGCCTGACTCCAGGGCCAATGTTTCACTTTACCAAGATGGCTCTTTGTGCAATGGGAAGAGTATTGAATTTGGAGTCAGAGGAACTGAGTTCAAATACTGCCTCTATTGCTTAACATTACTGACATTGGTCAAGTCACCTCAGATCTTTGGGTATTTCTTCATCTATAAAATGAAGGAATTGGACTAGGTGTCCTATAAGACCCTCTTCAGCTGCACCTCTGTGGCCCTAGGATCTCGTACTTTCTACTAATTATTTTCTTCTTGTTGTTGTTGTTGTTGGGCAATGGGGTTAAGTGACTTGCCCGGGGTCACGCAGCTGGTAAGGGTTATGTATGTGAGGCCAGATTTGAACTCAGGTCCTCCTGAATCCAGGACTGGTGCTCTATCCACTGCACCACCTAGCTGCCCCTATTAATTATTTTTGATGATGCCATTGTGAAGTGGAGAGAGAGGAGACCTCAGTAGGGTTTCTATCCTGCTTTTGACACATCCTGGTTGCAACCCTGGACACATCCTTGACCTTCTTAGGGCATGAAATTACAGAGCAGATGCCTGTTGGCACTAGAAACTCCCTACGTTGATGAAATCATAAGTTTGGTTTTTGGTTTAATTTTAAATAATATGTTCTGCAGTTTTCATAGCCAGTGATTTGAAATAGGAGAGAAAGATGCCCCTTTAGGGAAGACAGAGAATCATTCTCCCTACCGCAACCCAGTAGGTATCTTTAGTTCTTAAGTGAGAGATTTCAGAGTCAATGGAACTGAAGGGACTGAAATTTCTCAGCTAAGTAGATGAAATAGATGTAGCAATGAGAGTGTGGTTCCCTGAAGTGGTACAATATCATCAATCACATATCAATATTGTGATTTTATTGTGATATGCTAATTTTCTGTCAACATTGTCACCTGTCTCCCTGCAAATCACCTGGAAAGGCAAGAAAATGATGTGGAAAATGGGCAAATAGGGATCGTAGATCCAAGCAACTATGGTTCCATTTCTGTGTCTGACTCTAGTGACTGAATTGCCTTGTTGAGACTGGTCATCTGGGCTGAAAGGTACCCTTACCCCAGCAGGAAGTCTGTAAAATGTAAATTGTGAATGCAACTGCACTCCACCCAGAATTCTGGAATGAATTCTGTACCTTGGAGACTAGAATTCTGAAGAGATTATTGTGGGCCTGAGATGTAAAGAACTGTTCTTAAAAGATATTTATAATTATAAATGCTGTGGAATTTGCATAATTGCATTGCTAAATATATACATGTTGTAAAATAGCACTATCTAGTATATTAGCAGAATTATGTAAGGGAAGAAATTGCTAGGGAAAGTTAGGAGGGTGCACATGCTTGGGAGTTTTTTTCGTTATTAAAAACACCAGTCCTTAACCCATTTCAGAGGGGGGAAATGAATACCAAAAGCAATTACAAAAGTATAAAATTTAGTGCATTGTCTAGCCTACAGTATGGTGTTCTTTTAGAAATATTTTAAGCTGCATAGGTCATTTTAAAGCGCCTCCCACCACTAAGTGTTTAATTTTTGTTGTGCAGGGTCTCATAAACTGCCAAACCAATTTCTCTTCAGATTTTGTAACATAAATAAGTGAATAAAGCTGAGAGTGCTTTCTTTCTGAGGCTCTCAAGTGAAATTTTACAGCTAAGTTGTAAAACCACTGAAACCCTGGAAGGCAAGTGAAAATCCCCAAAATATTCTTCCTTATTTGGACTCTACTAGACCCCTGGATATGTTTGTTCAGAAGCACTTGTACCCAGCAGCCCAGGTGA